CCTGGACTACCAAGCGAGTTCCAGGACAGCCTCCAAAGCCACAGAGAAACCCTGTCTCGAAAAACCAAAAAACAAAAAACAAAAAAATATGTGCATTGGTGTAAGGATGTCAGATCCCCTGGAACTGGAGCTGCCATGTGGGTGCTGGGAATAGAACCTGGGTCCTCTGGAAGAGCAGCCAGTGCTCTTAACTGAGCCATCACTCCAGCCCCGAGTTTAAGGTTATTACTCGAGTCTTTGTCACAGCTTAATAGATTACATTCTTTGTAAGTACAAGTAATTTTCATTTGGTAATTTCTTTTACAGCTGAACTATAAAAGTCTGTAGTAAAATAGCAAACAAAACAAAAAAATAAAGAAGAGGAGGAGGAAGAAAGAGAGAAAGAAGGAAGGAAGGAAGGAAAGAAAGAAAGAAAGGAAGGAAGGAAGAAAGGAAGGAAGGAAAGTGAATTCAGGTGGGCATGGTGCCTTGTGCCTGCAGTCCCAGGACTTGGGCCACAGCTGGAAGGCGATGATTGCGAGTCCCAGCTGTGCATGGCCTACATGGCCCTTATGTCAGGCATCATTCATACATTACTAACTCCACTTCTTACAGCATTATGAAGTATATTCTAATTTTCCATATGATGAAACAGAGCACAGAAATTACAATGCTAGTTAAGCAGATTTGAATTTGGCCTTTGAACTTTCAACTTCATAACATTGTTTTGTTTTGTTCAAGAGACCATTTATAGTCTTCTGTATCATAAAGGAACTATAAAAGTTTAAGGTTTAAAAAGCAATTTATTTGATAGAGAAATTATCACCTTTTTTTTTTTTTTTTTTTGGAGACAAGGTGTCTCTGTTGCTTTGACTGACCTAGCCATCACTATGCTAGCCTCCAGTTCACAAAGACCCGTCTGTCTGTGCCTCTCAAGTAATGGAATTAAAGGTGTGCAGTACCATGCCCCATCTGGCCAGTATCACTGCTTTTAATAAAATACTTATTTTTGAGTTTGTGTCTGCTTGCTTGTCGAGTGTGGGTATGTGCACATCAATGCAGGAGCCATTAGAAGTGAGAGATTCTTGGAACTGCAGTTACAGGTGGTTACAGGGACTGAACCCAGACCAGGCTGACCTTGAACTCAGAGATCTGCCTGCCTCTGCCTCCCCAAGGCTGGGACTAAAGACATGAGACAACCATGTCAGGTGAACTCACACTGACAAGCCAGCCATTCCTCCAGACACCAAGGGTACTGATTTGGTTGGGAACCCTATCAGAAAGTTTACCTGGGTGTTTTTGAATGCTGGCTTAAGGCAAATTGCAAATGTGTCACTACCTGTTTTTTAACTTCCTGAGAAACAAACATTAGTAGTCAAATCACTTTCTTTAGCTTGTAGCATATTGAAAAAGCTTGTATAATAAATAAATAGCCTTTAAGTGCTCACCTGTTAGCACTCCCTCATGTAGTTTACAAACTTTGGAATATAAAACAAAAGGCTAAAACAGATTTCTGCCTACTTCTGGTTTCATTTCCAAAAGTGAAAGTTTTTGCAAAATTAAATATAAACATCTCATCAAGACCACCCTATTTATTTATTTATTTTTAAAGATTTATTTATTACATATACAGTGTTCTGTTTACACTCCAGAAGAGGGCACCAGATTGAATTGTAGATGGTTGTGAGCCACCATGTGGTTGCTGGGAATTGAACTCAGGACCTCTGGAAGAGCAGTCAGTGCTCTTAACCTCTGAGCCATCTCTCCAGCCCCCACCCTATTTAAAGTAGTAATTTAAGTTAGTGAATTTTATCAGAGGCTTACTTTAAATAAAAGTATAATTTCTGCCAGATGCAGTGGTACATGCTTTAATTCAGGAGGCAGAGCTAAGTGGGATCTCCATGTGTTACAGGCCAGCCAGGACTACATAATGAGGTCTTCAAAAGGAAAAAAAGTAAATATTAATGAAACTGTAATTTATTGAACCATCAAAACTCTAGTATATAATTTGAAGTAGATACTTCACTCCTTAAATTTTTTACCTTTATTTTTCTCTGTGTATGTGCCTGTTTTACAGCATATTATGTGGCAGTCACAGGAAAACTTGGTGGGATCTGTTGTCTCCTGTGTGAGTTTCCAGCAGGAACTAAGGTCATTAGGATTGATGGCAGGTGCCTTTTCCTGCTGCCCCATCTTATAGGCCCCTTGTTCCTTTTTTGATTGGTCAGTTTTTGTTTTTGACAAAGTGACTTTCAGGGTTTTGGTCATGGTCCACTATGGATTCGTGTTACTTTGTTACTCAGTACTTATGCACATATATGTACATGCCAGTATTCAAAGTGGAAGTAAGTTAAGTGAAATGCTTTACTGGTGATGAATTGGAGTATCTTCTGTTTTATTATATTTCATTTAAATAGGCTGCTGGCCGGGCGTTGGTGGCTCATGCCTTTAATCCCAGCACTTGGGAGGCAGAGGCAGGTGGATCTCTGTGAGTTCAAGGCCAGCTTGGTCTACAGAGTGAGTCCAGGACAGCCTCCAAAGCAATACAGAGAAATCCTGTCTCAAAAAACCAATAAAATAAAATAAAATAAAAATAAATAGGCTGCTGGTTGATCGTAAGTCACAAAGTTGCTCTGGTAATTTCTAATGTAGTATGCCTATATTGAAAAATTCTAGTTCTAGTTTTTGTACATTAGCTTTTGGGGGATTAAACTTTTGGATTTACTGGATGGGGGGATTTATTTATTTGTAGGTTTCTTTGTGTAGCTCTGACTGTCCTGGATCTGACTCTGTACCAGGTTGCCCTTGAACTTGGAGATCTTCCTGCCTCTGCCTACAAAGCTGGGATTAAAGTTGTACACCACCACTGACCAGCCGGAAGTTTTTTTTTTTTAATTATGTAAGTTGCATGTGTCTTTGTGTGGGTATACCCACACTATTGCAGGTGCCCCTGGAGGCTAGAGGCATTTGATTCCTGCTGGAGCTGGGGTTAAAGGTGGTTGTGACTTGGGTGCTGGGAACTGAACTCAGATCTTCTGTCAGTGCACACTCTTAACTGTTGAGTCATCTCTACAGGACCTGGGTTTACTAGGTTTTGTCCTTTGAAAGTTAACCTTGATTATGTAAAGATTTTAGCCAAATAATTATGTAAAACAGTTGAGAGGGGACCCTCCTGGACCATGATTTTGACTTCAGTAAACCATGGATGCATACAATCCCAGCTCTTGGGAGGTAGTGGCAGGAAAAATCAAGAGTTAAAAGAATCATCCTAATGTACAAATTGTATTCAAGGCCAGTTTAGACTACATAAAACCCTGTCTCAAAAAACCAAAACCAAAACCAAAAAATCCCAGAAACAATAAGAGAGGTGAACATGATCAAAATGCTTTACATACATGTACAGTCAGAAGTTTCTGTCTTGCCTTACCCTGCAGCCATTTAGTCCCAAATAAATATACACAGGCTTATATTAATTATAAATGGCCGATGGCTCAGGCTTATTGGCTAGCTCTCTTAACAACCCATTTCTATTACTCTATGTATCTCACGTGGTCTTCTGGACCTCTGGCTTTCTCAACAGGTACATAGTGTCTCTCTCAACTCCTCCTCTGCTTTCCTCTTCCTAGCCTTCTCCTTGTCTGGTAGCTTCACCTATACTTCCTACCTGGCTACATCTTACCTGTCCATTGGCTGAAACAGCTTTATTCATCAACCAATAAGAGAAACATATATTCACAGCATACAAAGGACATCCCCCATTATACATGCATAAAAGTGTCATTGTTAAGCCCATTCCTGTGTATAATTTATATTTTATGTGTATGTGTGTGTATCTGCATGAGTTTTTGTGTACTACATGTGTGCAAGTGCCCTCAGATGACAAAGGCTATCAGATCTCTTGGAACTGGAGTTACAGGCAGTTATGAACTCGATAAGGGTGTTGGGAACAGAACCCAGAGTCCTGCAAGAGCAGTACATAGTCTTAACTGCTAAGCATCTCTCCAGCCCCTGTGTATAATTAATATATGCTAATAATACTTAAAAAAGTAAAAATAGCCCCCACAACTGCAGGAATTCTGAATTCATGAAGTTGTGAAAGTGCTTGGTCTACAGCACATCTATCATAAGAATCCTGTCTTAGTTTTCATGTGACAGTAAACGTTTAGGCCTATTTGTTGCTTTTCATAGTTGTCATTTTCCCTGGCATTTAGTCAGTAGTTCACAAAGCTGCTTTATTCTTCATTTTCTTTATCCCAATTCCAGAGTTTAAAGCCAAGAAAAGAGGACTGAGGAAGTGAAGCAGTTTGCTCATATGTATGAAGTCATAGGATTTGAAGTGGTGGATCACATCCATTGTCCCTGTTCATTTTTTGAAATCTTAGAGCAGAAAGGAAGGTATAGATTGCAGCATTTTTGGACTGTCTGAGCCATTAGTGAGGTGAGGTCAGCAGACATAGTCAACTTTTTGCTTTTAATCAGTTATTACCTCTTATTTATTTAGATTTTTTTTTTGGTTTTTTTTTTTTTTTTTTTTTTTTTGGTTTTTCGAGACAGGGTTTCTCTGTATTGTTTTCGAGGCTGTCGGTCCAGCCTGGCCTCGAACTCACAGAGATCTGCCTGCCTCTGCCTCCCGAGTGCTGGGATTAAAGGCGTGTGCCACCAACGCCCGGCTTATTTATTTAGATTTTTATTTTACTTTATTCATTTATTTTTTAGTGTCACCGTGCTACATACAGGCTGGCCTCAAATTCAAATCCACAGCAGTCTTCCTGCTTCAGCTTGCTGAAGTTTGCTTGCTATGAGTCCAGGCTTAAGGTGCCACACCTAGCCAGTTATTACCACTTCACACTTGATGAGCATTTGCTGTGAGGCCGGTACTCTCAGTGCACTTCAGTGGATCCACATATGTGAGTAGTTGAGAGCTGGGAGAATGAGAGCTGGAAGGAATGAAGGAGAAAACTTGCCTTCTCAGAGTTCTGTCAGCCCTTTCAGTGCTGGCTGTCGGTGACTATGGCATGCATAGCATACGTTTTTACATCTCTCAGCTTCTATAATCACTAGTATTGTCTGTGAGACACAGAGCTGGTGATTGAGAGCTCTGACTTTGAGGATAAATCTGCCTGAACTTGAATTCCAGTTGGTGACTTATTAGGTATATAACCTTGAGCAGGTTACCTGCTATGCCTTTTAGTTTTCTCATTTATCGAATGGTGTTGATCGTAAATGGCTCTTACGTTACAGGTGTAATGGAAAAATGAAAATAGTAGTTTGTAATGGTACTTAGAACAGTGAGTGCATGATCCATAAAAAGCACTCCATAAATGTTAGGTATTAGTACTATGAGCTCATATTTGGATCTCATGGGAATAGTTGTCCACCCCCCCACACCCCCGGGGAATATTTGTGACTGTGGTGAGTTTTGTATATATGCTGAATAAAAACATTGCGGATTGGCTGTTAATGATGTTAAATTGTCCAGAAATTTGAAAACATCTTTTCTTGAAAATTTGTATAAAAAGTTCTTGTGTGGAGTTTAGCAGGTTTGCAGGCCAAACTTATCTATCTTTCATAGTAATTTCTTAATATTTGTACCTTACTTGTAAGGGTTTTTGTGAGGATTCAAGCATTATGCTTGCCTGCCCCCGTCACCTGGTAGAATGCACTCAGGCAGTACCTGGTCAGTCCAGAGTTCCATGGCTGCATAGTCTGCACGCAGCTCCAAAGGACCCCTTTAAAAGGAAGGCCCCTTGCTCACTTAAGCTCTTTTGCTATCTTTCCTGATGTTCCCTTGGGGCAGATAGGACTTTTTCTGTCTCCCTCTAATCTTGTGTCCTCTCTCTGTCTCTGTCTCTTTACCTCTTTTCTCTTTTCTTCCTTCCCTTTCCCCTTTTTTTTTTCTTTTGGTTTTACGAGACAGGGTTTCTCTGTATTGTTTTGGAGGCTGTCGGTCCAGCCAGGCCTCGAACTCACAGAGATCTGCCTGCCTCTGCCTCCCGAGTGCTGGGATTAAAGGCGTGTGCCACCACCACCCGGCTTTCCTTTCCCTTTCTAATGAAACTTCTCACTAAGCTCTGTCTGCCTGGCGTGTTTGTTTTGATATTCTTAGTTCAAAGATTATATTTTCAATTTAAAATTTGTAATTATGTGTATGTGTGTAGGTATATGCATGTGAGTGCTGTTGTCTGAGGAGACCAGAAGAGGGCGTCAGATCCCTTGGAATTGGTTTACAGACAGCTGTGAGCCATCTTATGGGGGCTGGGACATGAGCTCAGGTTCTCTGAAAGAATAGTATGAGCTCTAAATTGCTGAGCCATCGCTTCAGTCCTTCAAAGTTGTTTTTGTTTTTAAGCAAATACATCATGCTTATTATGTGCTAACCTGCTTTAAATTTTACAAATATTAACACATTTAATCCTTATAAGAAAGTTACTGTTATTCATGATTTACACATGAAGTAACAGATCCAATAGGCCTTATCTAAGTGTCACAGCTGGTAAATTGGGCTTCTGTAGTCTAGTCCCAAAGTGTATTCCCCCAATATCTTATTTTTGCCAGCCCTGCTTCTTATAGAGATTAATTTTGTTGAAAAGGTACAATAAGTTAAAACTCGCTTCCTTCACTGCTCTTCACCTTGTAAGCTGAAGTGACAGCATGGGGAAGAGTTTTATTTATAGATCTTTGAAGTAGTAAATGCATTTGGAGAAATGAAAATTAATAAAACACATGGATGTAGGTTTCATCATATGTAGAAATACTGGACACCAAGGCGCTAACAAGAGTGGAAGGCGCCTGGGGCATTTGCTCTCAGTTTTTGAGCATCTGTTCCCTGGGAACATTCTTAAAAGACATTGAGGCTCTTGCCCATGGTAAGTCTATTCACTATATAGCATTTAGTGAGTAAAGATGAAATCATGCCATTTTCTTGCTAGATGCTTGTCACTTTCCCAGACTCCTTACTAGTATTACCCATCATTAACTTGCTAGCACCAGTCCTGGTATAGGAGACCAGCTAAATCCCACATAATTTTTGTGATGGTTAGAAGAGATAAATTCATATCTAGAAAGTAAACTTGCCCTCAAACATTGCCTAAATACACTCTCCTCCCTCTCACTTTCTTCTTCTTCTCTTCTTTCCTTGATGTTAGGGTCTTACTATGTAGTCCTCATCTGTCTTGAATTTGCAATCTTCCTGTCTTTGCTGCCTTGGTGCTGAGATTAGGGGCATGTGTTGTTCATCATGTAGTCAGTGGAGGTAGATGTAATTAACTAGAACCTTTATACAAAACCAGATGAACAGAGATTCCCATCTACCGCCTCTACTCTGAGGAAAACTGGTTAGACTTGTCACCTAGATTTATGAGTTGTCTTTGGGAAATTAGTATTGTGAAAGAGAGGTAGCCATGACTTGTTCCCTAGCTGCTGGTGCTGTTTTTGGGAAGCTGGAGAACTTTAGGAGTGGAGCCTAGCTAGAAGTGGCCTTTGAAGTTTATAGCCCCTAGTTCCAGTGTTATAAAATGAAATAATTAAGCCAGGTGTGGTAGTTTATGCACGCAATCCCTGCGCTTGCTATGCTGAAGCAGGAGCATCATGAGTTCAAGGCTACCCATGGCTACTTGAGAAAATGTCTTAAAATTTTTTTAAAACAATGACATGTTTAGTAAGTGCTTTTATAGAAAAGCATACTATTTTGTAGATGTCACAAAATGACTATAAGAGAGTCAAGTAAATCTCTCAAAACAAAAAAAGAAAATATGAACTTCAATTAACATAGAAAAACATGGTCTTCAGTTTTTAGTCAAGTTTGCCTAAAATTGGTAAATGGTAAAGATTAACGAGGAACTTTTACCTCTCCCAGGTATAAATCTAACAGTAAATACAGTAAATATTTTTTTCCTCAAGCCAAGTATGTCTTGCAGATGATCAGTCTTTTTTTGATTGATTGTTTTTGAGTTTCCCATGAGCTGAACTGGCTTTTTGTTCCCACTGTAGACATTTTTGTGCATGGGATAAGCAATAGTAAGTCTGTTACCTTCTAACTGTTCTGAAGGACACTGTTTTTAATATCCTTATCTGCTGCCTGTTTACCTTCTCCCTGGTACAGAGTCCAGTCTGCCCTAGGAGAAGGTGTTTTGGAGAACACTTGAAATAAACATAATGGAGTCTGGGACAGGAGGACAAGCCTAAACAACACATGATATCTTACTACTATAGAGTATATTACAGCTGGCCTCCAACTCCCTATGTAGCTGAAAGTGACCCTGAACTTCTCATTCTTCTGTCTCCCAGGTCTTGGGGTTACAGATGTGAGCCACCACACCGAGCTTCCTGCTTGCTTTGTTTAGAAATATTTGGTCGGTTGGATATACAGCCGCTTTCTGTTATTTCCACACAGTTTTCCTTTTTTTTTTTAAAGTTTGTGTATTCCATTCAGTAGCCAGGAAATAGCCAGCAAATTCAGTGATTTAATAAGAAAACAACCAAAAACCAAAATTCCTATTTGTTTTCTGTGTCTGTTGTGACAAATTACCAAATTTGGACTCTTTTCCACCCTCCACCCTCTAAAGAGTTTCTCTGTATATCCTTACCTGTCCTGGAACTCACTGTGTAGACCAGGCTGGCCTGGGATTAAAGGCATGTGCTATACCACCACTGCCCTGGAGTTTTAAAACAGTAGAAATATATGTTTGCTCACAGGTCTGGTGGCCGGTCATGAACCAGAGTGTTAGCAGCTTCCTCCAGAGGCTCTGGGAGAAATTCCTCACCGTTGCCTGCTTCTGTGGGAACTACTTGCTTTCCTCAGCCTTGATCACTTCAGTCTGTTTTTCCTCTTCAGATGCCTTTTCCTCTGTGTATTAATTATTGATTACTTGCTGTGTGCTGCCTGATGCTAAGAATAATAAAATGGTGTTGGTCACAGACCTCATAGGACCAAGGAAAAGTGGATGGTTTAAACAAAACTTTTTGTTACTGTTTTTGTTTTTGAGGCAGGAAGTCACATAGCCAGACAGGTGTTAAAATGTATAGCTGGGAGCTAAAGATGACCTTGAGCTCTTTTCCACCTGTCTCCACTCCAGTACTAGTTTAGATGTCTGTGACCCATGCTCAGCCAGAATTGTTAACTGTCAGATTTATAATCATGAACAGGGGTCAGAAGGAGGGTTTTGGAGAGCTTTTAACTACTAGCCATTGATGAAGCAGGCTACTCTTTGATTAATAACTGAGATTTTCAGAGTTTGGGGCATATTTCTGGGTTTTAGTTTTATTTTCATGTTGCGATCATGACCTGTTTTCCTTTATGCTCTATCCTGAGAACAGTTTGAGGATACATACAACTTTGTAGCTGAATCTGAATGTGATTTATCTTTTCTTTTTTTAGTTTTTTCGAGGCAAGGTTTCTCAGTGTAGCTTTGGAGGCTGTCCTGGAACTCCAGCTGTAGACCAGGCTCACAGGGGTCTGCCTGCCCAGTACTGGGAACAAAGGCATGTACCACCATCACCCATCGTGACTTATCTTCTTAACCCAAATAACTAGGTTTTATTTAGACTTATTTTGGTACTTTAGTTTATGTGAAGTAGAACCTAATTTATGTGCCACTACTGCTCAGTCCAAATCTTCAGTTTCTTAAACTGCCTGTTTGTATCCTAGAACAAGCTTAGTTACTAAGTCTTCGTTTGCCCCATGATCATCAATGAGCCAAAGGTATAGATAGGTTTTGGTTTGTATTGTAGGTGTTAGACCTTTTCCATCATAACAGTGCAGATTGCCTTTCTTACATTTGTTTTATTGCATGACAGTTTATTTCATGTAGCAGGATCTGTTAATCTGTCCCTTCTGTTTCCCATTTCCATAGATGGGATACTGCGGTATTGTTTTTCTCCTCAATTTTTTGAAGGCTTAGTTCTTCATATATTTGTAATTAAAGATAGTATATGGTGTTAATGTTCTCTACACATTGATACTCAACTTTACTATTTCACATACCAATTTGTTTCTGTAGCTCAGGCTGTTCTGGATCTCACAATGTAAACCAGGCTAGATTCCTGGTGCTCCTACCACTGTCTCACAAGTGCTGGGATTAATGCTGTACACCACTATACCCTGCTGTTTATTTCATATTTTAAATGCTTTGTAGGTTTGACCTTAAGTTTGGT